ATCGTGGAATATTTTTTTTTGCCAGTATCAAAATATGAAAAATAAAAATAGGTTTTATCCTTTCTGGCAATAAAGGCAGGTGTTGATATGTTTTTGTTCGCCTTTTGGCGTGTTCTGGACTGACACTGGTGAGACTAGGCCGTATGGCTCTCTCTGGAGTAGTCCAATCAGTATAAAAGACAATGCCATCTATTATCAGAACATATTTTGATTGCATGTTCACCACAAGTACTGAGTGTGGTTAATGCAGACTCGATTCCTTGCAAAAGGTTTCTATTTGGTGTTTGAATATCGTAACACCACCTGTTTTATTGCCAGAAAGGGTAAAACTTATTCTTAATTTCCATACGTTAAGATTTTCAGCCCAACATTGGGTCGTGATAAATCTACACAAAGATTCAAATTCTAACCTCATCCGTCTCTTCCCCCTCTCTCTGCCCTTTCGTTCCCAGCCCAGCCGTGAAAAGCATTAAACAACCAATTCACGAACCACATTCGTGAAAGAGCAAGAGGGGTGACAAGGAGCAGGCCAGCGATAAAGCTAAAGTCGCCCATTTGTTTCAAGTACGAAGGGCTTTTCTTTGCCTTGCGAAATGGCAGTGTTTGTGTGGCATTCTCCCGGTTAATTCCCAGGGCTCGGATGCATGGCCCAATGCACACGACTTCGACTGTGCAATGCAGCCACATCACAATGATCCCTGGTAACGGTGGGAGGAGGGAGAGGCAGGTCGGATAAAAAAAAATGCAAAATACATGTAAATCGGAGTTAAACAGCATATGTATTGCCTACATACGCAGCATGGGGTTCCGCGGTGGTGAGATGTTAACTACCTCGCCTGGTATACAGGATTGCGTGGGTTCGATCCCGACCCTGACGCCTGCTGTATATTTGGAGTCTGCGTGTCTCTCTCGCCGTAGTGGCGTGGACATTTCTCCGGGTCCTCCCGTTTTTCCCCTCCACACATTTAGAAACGTGCGTTTGGAGTATTTGGCCGCTATACATTCCCACGAGATAAGCCACTGCGTTGAGCTATCATTTGTGGCCAAGTCGCTTCTGAAAAAGAAGCTAATGGCTCAGTGTAGAGCGTGTTGTTTCACATCATTGTTCCATGGTGGGGTAAAGCGTGGCTCACTCCCAACTCTCCCAAGACCTCCTGCCAGTGTGGAAGAGTAGGCCAAAAGTGTCCTCCTTGGAGGTGCTCTCCTGAGCTTCGTCTCTGCGGAGGCCCTTTCCGCCAGCAGCGGAGCGAGCGAGCAATTGCACGACCGCTCCTTTAGTCTTTACCTCCTTGATTAAAATAATTGATCACCGAGGGACGGATGAGAAGCCGCTAAAAATAGAACGAGCGCGTAATACTGTAGGTGGGAATGTGCACACGCAACGCTGTGCCCCAATGTATCTCTTCTCCAGCGTAATTAGCCGGCGAACAGTATGATCGGCCCAAGGGATAATCGATAGTCGCCTCTGGAACGATGCGAGCAGTTTAATTGACCCGCACCTGGCGGCGGGGGGGGGGGGGGAGATGACCCTGTCACAGCGCTCGCCGTCCACGTGGCCCTGGGGCCCAGGCGGAATATTTCTCTCGTGGTGTTACCGCCCGAGATGGTGACTCTGACGTTGTGTCGACATCTTCATAACACCAATGAAAGTGAATTGTGTGCAACAACAACAACAAAAACACATTATGCAGCTGTGTGGCTTACTTTCCAGGCCAGGCTGCGTGTTGAGCGGTTTCCCATCGTCGTGTATCACACGCTGCTGCAGGCATCTTCAGGAATTCAAGATGCATATACTCAATTCAATGACCTTGTTTATAACTCTGTTATCGCAATCCACTTTCATTTATCCACATGCACCTACTGACATCCAAAAACATTGTCCACCGCCCGTGGTCTGTACAGATTTCTGCTGTGGCTTTGTGCGGACTAATGTACGATGTGGGTGAACTGGTAAACCCAGTTTGAGCTCCTCAACAGCAACGACTGAGTGATGAGATTGTTTTAAAACCCTGTACTGCTACTGTAATTACAGAATCCCAGAGATGAAAGCCACACATTAACCGGCATCTGTGTGTAACCCGTATGCACGGTGATAGCCAAAACAGAGAAGTACATTCGTAAGAGTGTAATTCATAAACAAGCACCTGCCTGTAAGGTCGGTGCCAGATTTCAGATGAGGGTGGTGCCGAGTGGCCCAACAGGGAATTTTTCATCGCTGCGCTCCTGTTCATGCTGGCTGGGTTATTTTTTTTTTTGGCAAGGAATCTTTATGCAAATAATTTAAGACCATTTTACGAATTAACCAAGGGATTTTTTTGTTTTGTTTGCTTTCTAAGCCAACTTTGTTGCTAACGTGCCCTTCATACATATATATACAGTATATATGTAAATTCTTCCCCGGTTAAATACAAATCAGTGAAAACACAGTGGTGCATCTGCACTGATAAATGTTGCATCGCCTCCCTTGTTCAGCCAGATTTAACCATCAGGGGTGAATCAAAGGTTTTCTCAACTCCAGTTCACGCGGCCCACCATGGCACATTCTATCCATTATTATCAATTGGTATTTGTTCAAGTGCTTATTCAATATTCACATCGTGCGAAACACAGAATTTGTTGATGAACGAGCCCCGTGTGATGTACAGAGCTCTGGTTCAGATGTAGATAGTTCCTGTGTGTGTGTGTGTCTGTGTGTGTCTGTGTGTGTGCAAGTATGTGTGTGTCCTCAGGGGGAGCGGTAGTGTAGCGGTTAGCGCTACGCTGCGCTATGAACCCGGCTACCCGGGTTCGATTCCCGCTCACGGTCAACACCAGTGACGATTATCTGAACCGGTCCTGGGCCTCTCCTATTTTGACTCAGCCTCAAATTAGTACCTGGTGCGGTGTGTAAACATCGCCACTGGGGAGACAAAGGCGGTCAGGCGTGGTGCTGGCTACCCACCCCCTCGTGTACCGTTCCGGCCTTTATAGGTGCTCGCTAACAGCACTTGCCCTTGCAGTCTGTTAAGGCTATACGGGGGGGGGGGTATTTGTCTTTGTGTGTCCTGATAACGGCCAAAACCGGTGATGAAAATCTGAACTAGTCCTGCCCTAGGTCGACTCAGCCATAAATGAGTATCTGATGCAACGTGTGAACATCGCCACAAGGGAGACAAAGGCGACCGGGCGTAGTGATGGCCACCCACCCCCTCGTGTGCCGTGTCAGCCTTAAAAGGTGCTCGCTAACTGCACTTGCCCCAACAGTCTCTTGAGGGCTATACGGGGGATCTGCGTCTTTGTTCTGTCATACGGGATGTCCAGGGTGGGTCCAGATTTCTTGTGACCGCCCCATTTAATTCTCTAAAACTTACTATATAATTTTTTTTAAAGTTTACTTTTATTTAAAACACAATGAATTGGGGGTGACAAGACATCTGGACCGCCCTGTAGGGGCGGGGCCCTGCACATCCACATCGAGCGAGCACTGATCGACATTCACGGGGGGAAGGGGGGGCACAGGGGGAGGGGTAAATGAAGTCGACATTAATGTTCCGAGTGATAAGAAAGGTTTATGGGTTAGATCGCGTTACCTATAAATGTGTCGTAACCCTCCACCACCCGACACGGCCAAACAGTACAAAATGTGTCGCCTCAAATCACCGCACCTTATTGAATTAAATGATGACGTCACCCTGCTGCTGCTGCTGCTCTATTTAATACCGGGAGCAGGTGGAGGGCTTCACTATTCTGGCAAATCGCCCGATGAAGCTGGATGTAATTACCAGCGAAACGTTGTACTATTCAAAAATTTCAAATGATGTTGATTCGCTCTTCAACACGCCTGGTGGGCTAAAGAAGTGAATGATTTTGTCCTTTGTAAAACGTGACACATTTTTTACTGTTTGGCCGTGTCGGGTGGTGGAGGGTTACGACACATTTATAAGTAACACGATCTAACCCAAAAAGCCTTTATTACGAATGATATTTGACGCGAAAGCCTACGTGTTAAACTGATTAATGTCACGATGTGATCATGTGCGTTGCGTTCATTCAATTAAGACAGACCTGCTGGCGGCACTCTGCAGGCGATTGCTCAGTTTGGTTTGCATTTCGCGTCGCCCTTTGTCAATCGACTTCTGGATGGATGCCTCCGCATCACACCGTGTCGGTCATGGGGGATTAGACGCGAGGAACGCGTGGAATTCCAGCGAGACACATCGGAGGCGTAGAGGTGGATGTATTTAATGTTTAACGTTTTGTACAGGGAGAAGAGAGAGAAAAAAAGTGCAAACTTTCAAAGGGCATCGTCGGAATAAAACACGGATAAAGTTTCGTTCACAAGTCCGTACCTGCACCTAGCAACGCAACGCGCAAGACGACACCTCTGTTCGTGAGGACAAACGCGACGAGATAAGAACTCGCGGAATGATCGGCTCATGCAATTGCCTTGGGCAGAGAAGAGGAAGAGACGAACGAAAAAAACCGTGAAAGGCTTTGCCTTTTAAATCCACTACACACTACCGCCGTGTCACAACGAATAATAAAAAAAAAACCCTGCAATCCTGTCCCGGTGTAGTTTTTGTTCTTCTAATGTCTTGTTACTTTGCATATGCGACGTTTCTGTCGCCGAGTGCCACATCACGATCATCCAGAGTCATCGCGGAAGCAGGGAGAGGCAGGCCGGAATTAAACAAAAAAATAACTAAATATGAAAATCACGTGTAAATCGGAGTGTTACAGTATATTTACTCTTGATTTGAAGCTATCGTGACTGCAGGAATCCATACTCTTTGGTTCTTTCGGTAAAGTCACGTAGGTAAAAAATCAAATAAATCACGACGTTTCGGGCGCAAAACAAGCGTCCATCATCAGGTGGGAAAGCGTGGTCTGCTGCTGAGGCAGACTGATTTAAAAACATGCTTTCCCACCTGATGATGGACGCTTGTGTTGCGCCCGAAACTGTCGTGATTTCTTTCATTTTATACCCACGTGACTTTACCGAAAGAACTAGAGAGTAAGCATATTTACTGCTTACCTATACAGAATGAGGCGCCGCGGTTGGTGAGATGTTAACTACCTCACCTGGTGTACAGGATTGCGTGGGTTCAATCCCGACCCTGACACCTGCTGTTCATTTGGAGTTTGCGTGTCTCTCTCGCCGTAGAGGCGTGGGTTTTTTTCCGGGTACTCCGGTTTTTCTCTCCACATTTAGAATTGTGCGTCTAGAGCATTTGGCTGCTTTACATTCCCACGTGATGAACCACTTCGACGAGCTATTATTTGTGGCCATTTCGCTTCTGACAAAGAGAGCTACATAGCTAAGTGGGCCGTACCTGGTGAACTAAAAGTAGTTTTAAAGTAGTCTCCGGAGGAGGTGCAGAGGAATTATATCAAGCGCCTGCCGTTTATCGCAAAATCCCTTGGGAAGGTAAGGGAGCGAGGCGCGGCGAGTGACTGTCAGCGCGTCTGGAGGAGGCTCGCTTGGAAGATCCCTGCTGGCACAGAGAGAGAAGGGGGTGGGGGGGGGCAGCGGTGGTCGTTAGAACTCTGCACAGCTCACGGTGATCGAACTCACCAGCCCTGCCACATTGACGGTGCTTCGCTTTCCCAGCTCGTCGTTTTTGTTAATCCTTTATATTAAGTTCACTTGCTTGCTTGCTTGCGTGCTTACGGCCGTGCAAATCTTTCGGTTGTTTTTTTAACCCACTTCCCGTGATCCAATCGAGCTGACATTTTGCACACAGAGTCGTTGTGCGTGACCATTTATTTTCCAAAATTTCCACTTTTTAGGAATTTTTTTAATATTTAATTTTAAATACCAATGTGATAAAAATGAAACTCTTACTCAAGAAAAACAGAAATGAATAATACAATAAAACCGATGCCACGCATATAAAGGATTTATAGTGAAAAACTTTGTTTTTACGGGTAAATTTTTTTTAAACCCGTTTACCACGTGCCGATTTTCAAAGCTGATTCATCACACCTCGGGTTGTCGCCTGTCCTGGATTACCTCCTCTAGGTGAGGTACCTATTGTCCTCAAAAGTCCAGGTTTTTGTCAGTTGCCAAATAATAACAACAACAACAACAAAGCACCACTCAAGGTAAGAACATTCAGATGCAGTCCTCCCCTCTCCCGGTTTGTGAGGTCTTCATTTTCTTCCCTAAAGAGTTTTAAACTTGGCGGAACTTACACTCAAATCAGTAGGGCTGGCGAGTATGTAGCATACATGCTATGATGACTTAACAACAAAACATAGCGCCAGCTATTACTGCTGCACGGTCAGTTCAGGTGCACGGCTGTGCGAGTGAGGGAAAATAACGCGATAATTTTTTTAGCGTTTCTCTGCCATGTGGGATTAATAATACTCTCACCCATAAAGCCATTTGTTAATTTACTATTGGATGAAGGCCTCCCCATTCCGTGCTGGTCATGGGGGTTTGTTTGACCATACTTCGCCACGCTAGTTCGTGCGCGTCGTTGAAAGGAGACAAACGGGGAATGGTTCGGATATCACTCGCCGCCACCACTAGCACGCAGGCGTTCGTGGTTGCGGCTGTTGCAGCCCCTTAGACTTGTTTTATGACTTGCACCGAAAAACACATTCAGCTGCTGAATAAGCCACCAGCGCGCGGAGTGAAACGTCGGACATCGTGCCAAACAATACGACCCGAAAGCACGCCAGAGCGTGACCCGATGTGAGCCCTTGGCCAGGAATCCAAGCAGGGTCACGTGGGTTCACAGCGGGTCACGCGAGTTCACGTCGCAGCGCGCTAATCGGTGCGCCACTGCTCTTCCTGTGACATTAACCCAGTTCCCATGTAGGGAGTGTTTGCATGTGGCAGGAAAGGTGTGGCAAGAGAGGTGCGATATTTGGCACGTGAGTCATTGTCATACTTTCATCGTGCTGATGGAACATAATGCGCCTAATGGGGTGCTAGTGAGTATTAATGTAATATATCTCCATTGAGTGGCAGTGATGTGGGGGACAGGAGGTGAGTTTGAGTAATGATACGTGGTTACCAACAAATTATGATTAAATAGCTTAGCTCAGCCGTAAAGGCACGGGATCATCTCGGCTTACAACCCTTACACAGACATTATTGTACTCCACAAAACATTGTTTGTGATTTGTCTGGCTGCAGGAATATATCGACCAAACATAAGTACTATTCCTGATTCTGTGCATCGCTCCTTCTGATTGTGCGCTCATTTCTAAGCAAATTCCAGCGATGTCCTTCCGTTCGAAGAGGTGAAAACACCCACGGTTATTTACGGTCACCCGTCTCAAGAGGTACATTTTTAATTCTTCAAATTGCAACGGTGGAAATGTAATTAACAAGGGATGCGTGAATGGCGATTGATGTATGTGATGCAATTTAATAATTAGAAAATAATGTAGAGCCCTTTGTCAATCTGCTGCTGGATGAAAACCACCCAATGAAACGTCGGTCAGGGTGGCGGTGTGACCACAGTTCACCAGCATGTTATTCCCTTCGTACAAGTGATGGGGTTTCCCTCCACACGCCGATGCGCCCGTCAAACGATTCAGCCAAACATCGTCGTGTCTAACCCTCCTGAAGAATAACCTTGAGGCCCAGTGAGGCTTTTCCGAGAGATTTTAGTTGTTTTGCTATGAAATGCAAGAGTAAAGGGAGCGACGTCTAACTCAGCCAAAGGAACGTGTCCACGTGGGTATGAATACTGTCACGACAAAAAAGACAAACACCGGTTACGGGCATTTTCATTTTAAATACTGACAACAGGTAGCTGATAATTTCATTTAAGTGCGTATCGCAAATGCCAAACACCCCATTAATGAAATTGGCATGTAGGACCCTGCTGAAAATGAATCTTGAGGCTCGGTGAGGCTTTCATGGATAAATGCATTAAATTAATATTAATTGTTACAGTGCAACGTCACATATCCGGCAATTACATTTCTGCCCTGACCAATTAAAGGCCCATAACTGTCATTCTCTGTAGACGTTCACATATCTTCCCTTTTCATATATCCACCTCGACCCCCAATGCCCAGCGAGTCGGATATGTGACGTTGAACTGGAACACAACAATATATTTGTTCTGTTGTGCGTGAACATTTCGCGTCGGGGATGGCGCATGCAGTGCGCTGGAGGGGAGAGAGGGGGGGGCGAACCGAGGGGGGGGATCATTGAGAGCGAGTGACAGAACAAGCGACAGATTGCTCCTGCACGTGCCTCGCTTTTGCCAACTTCCCCGCCGGCCTCTGCACCCCCACCCCCCCCCCCCCGGGCTTCTCTCACCGGTTTTGCGCGCGACGCGCTTGTGGACGCAGAGCCGTCGCGTCCGCGAGCACGTGAAGAGGCCGTAGCAGCCCTGGCAGTCGGAGGGGTTCGTGCACGTCCTGGACTCCATGCCCGGACAGGCCCACTGCGCTCGCACGCACGCCGACGGGACGGCACCGTTACGCCGAGGGGCGACACGCTGGCACCACGCGACACGGAGGCTCGACACGCAAAGGCGCGCCCCCCGGAACACGTGTCAAGCGGTAAAGTCACGTAGAAGGGAAGTAATAAAATAATAAAAAATAAAACATTATAATTTATTATGTTTTTATTTGTATTTATTTATTTTTTATTTTATTACTTCCCTTCTACGTGACTTTACCAAAAGAACCAAGAAGATGAATCCCTGCAGTCACGAAAGCTTTAAATCGAAATGTGTCAAGCGCTTCGTCAAATCGCAATGCAAAGGTAAAGGCGCAACACTGCAATTGCTTGTTCAAGGTCGCGACTCGTGCAGCGAGGGAACTAGCCTATTCTCTTACAGGGTAATTGGCCTACTCTTCCACGTTGGTCAGATGTCTTTGGAAGAGGTGGGAGCCACCCAGGTGTTACCCCATGGCATGCGGCCTGCCGATCGACTGTGTTAACGCGCAACTTTATTGAGGGACTGTGTGTCGTTGTCTTGCTGTGATCTGGGACTGCTGCTGCTGCTGTTGTTGTTGTTGGTTTGCTGCTTTGTACAAGTTTGCATTTATTGTTGAAATATAATCAGGAATTTATCTACTTTTGCAATTTGTACTTGGGTCGCATCCTTTTTAAATATTACGCATTTATGTTTCGTGATTTGCTTCTCTTTCCCATACTTTGCACTCCGATCGTTTGTTGCGTCGTTTGTCTGTCGTAACTTTCTGACCCACTCCAAACTGGACATCTGCGACAAAGAGCTCCATAGCTTATCGGATAAATAAAGATTCTCGTTGTGCGTTGGCTGGACAGACAAGAGGTGGGGAGGGGGAGATTTTTAGGAACGTGCCAGGGGGTTGAACCCTGCGAGTGTTGCTAACAATTACGCCACGGTAGCTGGCATCCCTGCAATACGGCGAGCTAGAACGATTCAGGATGTTATCTCGACGGAAGCGTGCGCCGATGCGCTGAATGTGGCTCTTCAGCTTAGATTTTTTTTTAAGAGGTCACTAATACAAATGTCTGCAGACAAAAATGCGAGTGCAATATGTATGTAAGGAGCAGAGAGGCAACATATATATTTATTATTCATTATATTTTACAGTGGATTGACCGTAGGCTGTAAATAATGCATGTCCATTTCACCCCCGGTGCCTGTCGTTATGCGCGGACATTATTTCCAGACCTATGTCAACTGACTACTGGGTGAAGGCCCCTCTCTCTCTACCACGTGTTATTCACGTGGGGTTGTTTGACCATACTTCACCATGCTGGTCAGTGTAAGTTGGTGAAGGGGAAACTTGGTACTGGTTCAGATATCTCTCAGCGCCCGATGTTAGCCGTGGCTGGGAATCGAACACAATTCACCGGGTTCATACCACAGTGCGCTAACCACTGTGCCACCACTCCGCCCCTCCCTTACTACTGGCCATTCATTTAAAGTTAATTCCCATTCTTAGATAAATGAACAACACCCTGTTGCCTGTATCCTGAGCATACATGTGGCATCGTCTCACCTACGTAGGCCTGCTGACTCAGCCCATCATCCCCCCTGGGGTTGTGAAAAATAAGGACCACATTGTGGGGAGGTCAGCAGTGGTTGTCCGATGGATAGACTTGCCCTCCTCAATAGGAACGAGGAGCTTCCTCCCCTGGCTCAGGGCTATAGATGGGAGATGAGAACCACCTGAGTGCCCATCTGAGCAGGAATTTGATTAAAATTGACTCTAAGGCTCTTTGAATCATTGACCAGTCGCCAGTATTTCGACTTGTTAACTTCAACGACTAAATTTAAATGGTCGCAAGATAAATACGTCATTCACATGTGTCTGTTTCCATATGCGAATAGTTGTTTTTATTAATATGTAACATATGTTAAGGGTGTTTCACAATATTTGAATAACCTACATTTTATCTTGTGTTAGACAGCCCATTCATGGGTTAATCGAGACCCTTAATAATTCACATTTGAAAGTGTTCACTGCATGTTCTCACCACAAGATGGGCCACGCAAAGAAACGCAATAATTCACTGAAAGATCCCACTGTGAAGGAAACCCAAAGTTCAGGATAATTAAGCTGTTTGTCGAGATCTCAAGGTTTTTTCTTGGACACCCATCGTTCGTAATCGCGTACAAACACAACGACAATTTCAGACATTTTCACGCACGAGCTTCGCCCGCAAAAACCGTGATCACCGGCAATGCACGAAAATTTCGATCTCCAGAATTCTTATTCCGACTATATTGTGGGCCCCTCGCTCACTGGGTTTCCATGAATAAGGATGAGACGTAATATATTCGAATAAAAAACAATTACCCGTGTTTATCTCTTTATTAGGTTGCATATGTAGCCGACTTAAAAAAAATGGTTTCTCTTCACTGCCCACTGCCAGTATAGTGCGCTGTGATTCCGTGTCCTTCTGTGCAGTAGCCTCCTGATACCAACCACAACTCGACGGAGAGTGTCACGTGCAAGGAATTTTACCTCAAAATCTCATCACTCAGTCCTTAATAAATCATTTGACAATAGATAAAGAATGTATAAGCCTTCACCCTGTACACAAATCAAACATGTTTTTTTTATAGGAAGGACGTATAATTTGCATTCATTCCATTACCCATCCCAATTATTTCAACTAACTTTAATAAATCAATCGGAAACACGTTGAGCGCTACTTCTCCCCACTGTCGCAAGTGAAACCCCACGGAAATTTGTCCGCCCAGTCTTTGCTCGGCGACACATTCACAGTCAAGGTGAGTGGGGGGGCATCACGCGCGAGAGATACTCACCGTGTCCATGTTGAAGCGGCCGTGTATCTTGTGTCGGTTGGGCCCTCGGCCACTGCCCGTCCTCTCGCCGGCGGCCGCGACGCCGTCGCCCTCCGCCGCCGGTGGCACGGCCGCGTCGTTGGACCTCTCCGCGGCGGACGATCTGGGACGCGCCGGCCGCGTGCCGTGGGACGCCGGTCGGGGCCGAGGCGACCTCGCCGGCGAGCAGTCGTCCTGCGGCCACGCGGCGCAAACTGCGGCGCACACGGCCGCCCAGATCACGACGCCCCGAGCGAGGGAAGGACTCATCTCGCCGGCGGTTGAAAACCTGCGACAACGACAACAACAAAAACGGGTTCGTTTCACAGATGTCCCGGACCCCCGGATTGACGTCTTGACGGAGCATAGTCCGAGACGCGCCGACCTTGGCGGGTTTTAAGCGTTGTTGGTGATGAGGACGTCGGCGCATTTTTTTCGCCGAAGAAGCAAACATTGGCCAACGTGCAAATTGGGCACCCTGAACGGTTCACATCCACTCGGACCATTTCAACGAAATGTTTTCGCTTGCAGTCAGACGCGTGGGTTAGGTACCTCTCGTTGAGGAAGAGGCGAGAGGACGTGGACGTTGACACCAAGAAAGCTGAATTCAAATTTTTGCTCCAAGCCAGCTTTGGATTCCTATTTATATTGTCCTAGGAATGCTGTGTCATTGACATAAGCCGAAGTGATTGGTCCCAGGGAAAAAATTCAGGCGTTTTGTTTACAGATGCCGGCGGGAGTGATGGTCTGTGCAGGTGCGAGCTTGATTCGGTTTCAAAAAAACTTAACACATTCGTCAATAACAGTGTGGCTTCAAAAGAGGGGAAATATGTTAAATAGCTGACGTTTCGGCCAATGACCCTTCCTCATGGCACATACATGATAGCACAATGTGTGTGCTACAAAGAAGGGTCATTGCCCAGAGCGTTACCTATTATATGTTTGTCCTTTAAAGGCCACAGTGTCAATTGTCAAATGTGCTCAGTTTTTATTGCCGTTATTTGTGCTTGGCACCACCGCCGACGCAGCATCGCCAGATAATTTTCTTGATGAGGATTCTGGCGATAAACAAGCCCCGAGTTTCTGATGGAACCAAGCACAACCGTGGCATTTCGAAGGCTGCTTGTGAAATACAAACCGTGTCGTATTTTGAATACAAAGTGCCATCTAAAAAATCAGCAAAATTTCGTACGGAGGTATATTTACTTCATTGGAACATGTGTTTTATATATAGATATAAGTGCAATCTGATGCATTAAAAGATATCGGAAATCGAATTTTTTTAAAAACATATAAGCGTATTAAATTCAACCCATTGCACAAATTACAATTTTAAAATAACTCCGACGATTGCATTACAGTAAATTAACTTACAGCCCTTTGTCGATTCGTTGCCAAACAACAGCCTCACGTGCCCTATCGGTGAAGGTGACTTGTTTGACCATACTTCACCGTGCGTGTTACTAAGGGAGGGCGAAGAAGGATGTGGTCGCATTTCCGAAGTGGAGCCACTGTTGACTTCCCACAATGTGGTCCTTATTTTACCAACCCGCAGTGAGACGAAGAAGGGCTGAGTCGACCGCCGATGGGGACTGTAACTTGGAACCTTCTATGCTCCCCTGTGCCACCGAGATGCTTGTGATATCGTGGTCATAACATTTGTGCCAACACAGAGACTGAGAAGAAGAAAAGCGAAGGGCTCCAAGAGGCTCAGGGGCCTCCATTTCATGGGGAAATTGGGGATGTACCAAATAGCAACTCGAATTGAAAAACGAATTGACATTAAAAAAATTAACCCGTAAAAACAAAGTTTTTCACTATAAATCCTTTATATGCGTGTTCAATGGGCCACAACCCAGCCCACATTGGTCTTTGAAACGGGCGGCTAGAGTCCTCTCGTCCTCTGGCTTGAGATGGCTGCCACCTATGGGTCAGATGATTGCCTGCCACCATTAAGCAATTGGTAATTAAATATAAAAAAAATCCTTAAAAGTGTAAAATTTAGGAAAAAAAATTTCACGAAAATAAATTTTCACGCACAACGAGTCTGTGTGCAAAATGTCAGCTCGATTGGATCACGGGAAGTGGGTTAAAAAGCGACCGAAAGATTTGCACGGTCGTAAGAGCGCAAGCAAGCAAGCGAACTTAATATAAAGGATTTAAAAAACAACACAATTACCATCGACACGTGAATGAATCTTTCTTGTCCGCAACTCTTTTCGCTCGTCTCACTACGTCTGTCTTGTGTCTGCACATCTCTTATCTCGCTGCTTCTCCGTCTCCTCTGTCAGGTACCTTCTCTCCATCCGTCTCATTACCACCTCAATCGTTCTGTCCACGTTCTACTCATTTCTACCTCTATATTTATACATCTTACCTTCTGTCAGCTCACGATGAGATTAAACATCGATTGGGGGGTCGGGAGAGATGGCCCAAAAATAAATTTCTGCATTAGCCCCCCCCCCCCCCGCCACCTGGAAAAATGAGCCAGCATCACCACCAAATCACCACCAATGCCAACACGTGGCTTTGGAGACCATGCGACTCTGCGTCAAGCAAACTGCGGCGCAGGGCACAGCGACCCCCTCCGGGCGCCGTGTGTGGCAAACAGCTGTCCCAAGCACCGGCAGACTAATCCGACTTTCAGGTCGCGTGTGTTACACATTCCAAGCGTCGTGGCGGGTTACCGGTCACATCAACACCACCCCCTCCTACCCACCCACCCACCCCCCACGCAACCCCCGACAGCGGGGCAGCGGAGCACAGAAGCTTCCGGGGACTTGAAGGTGGTGCGCGGGGAGAGACACACTCACACACACACAACAACAAGCGCCATTCACCACTAAGTGGCGGTGACGTCACCACGATGCTTGTGCCAGGCAATGTGCACCTTGAGGCCACGTGGAGTGTCGAACGCCCGCTGGCAGGAGGTCACGGGGCAGACCCAGGTGCCACGGGTCGACTGACCGAGATGACCGAGATGACTGGCTGATGCACCACCTGTGCCCCCTACTGTGCCAACTTGCTGTGCTTTAGCCACCCGGCGCTCCGCTCGTTGTTGTGAGCGTCGCTCCCCCGCCCTCCGTTGTTGTTGGAGGGCGACTGCCTCCAACTGCCCAGTAGCGTCCTTCACGAGCCTTCTCCACAGCGGCCGATCTTGACACCGCTGGTACCAGTCATCGGCAAGTCCACTCAGCTCCACGTCCTCCTGTACCACATCACTTCATCTCTTCTCTAGCCCGTGCCGCGCCCGTTTAGCCCCTTCGATCCGGCCGAACACACGCGCACACGCACAAAGGGGATGGGAACGTAAGACGGATACACAGCTGTGTGTTTTTTTGCGGGCAATGGGAAAGAATTAGCAAGAAAAGACAACGCTCGCCTCGGCTGCAGTACCCGATCGCATTCCACGCGGCCCATCGCAGGTGTTTGCCGAGGAGCAGGGTGCATCCTCTCGGTAAATAATACCATAATAATTCATAATAATACCAAATAATACCATTTGTTGTAAGCGGACGGATTTTGACGGGGTACAGCTCTCGGGAGTGAAATTCAAAGCGCACGGGGACACTTGTTTTTAATTGAGTGTGCCCGTGTTTGAAACCATTGCACCGCGCGTTCGTTCGCGAGACGAGTGCTCTTGACTTTTGACCCACCCAGGAATCAAATGATTAGCGAGAAAAATGGTTCGGTTTTTTTCCCCTTCTTTTTTTTTAAAAGCTGATCTGCACTGAATGCGTAACCTCAATGAAATCAAACATCGTAAGGAAAACACATTGCTGCATTTTATGACCCAATATATTTATCCCTACAACAATGTCATCGATCGCGCCATTATAACGGCATGAGTACGATGAAAATGTCATCCAGTTTGGTCATGCAACTTTTGATAGCCATTTTTCGATTTAAAGCGTTCGTGACTGCAGGGATTCATCTTTTTGGTTCTTTCGGTAAAGTCACGTAGAAGGGAAGTAATATTTTATTATGTTTTATTTTTATTATTTTATTACTTCCCTTCTACGTGACTTTACCGAAAGAACCAAGAAGATTTTGATAGCCACTTATATATAAAAAAAAGACGGGGCAAAAATTCCCCTGTTCGCCATATCAGACTTTTTGGGGCACCTCTGAAGCCCGGCACGGCTCACGGGGCAAGGGGTAGCCAGCACCAGACCGCTTCGTCGTCCCAGTGGCGGTATTGACACTACTCTTAGGTTTTTTCGGTAAAGTCACGTAAGTAAAAAATTAAATGAATAATAAATAATAGAAATAATAATTCATTTTATTTTTTACCTACGTGACTTTACCGAAAAAACCTAAGAGTATGAATCCTTGCAGTCACGAAAGCTTCAAACCAAGGCATTGACACTGGTGCACTCGGTACTCATTTAAGGCTGAGTGCACCGAACGAAGACGAAAGACCGGCTCAGATCATCCTCACCGGTGTTGGCCGTGAGCGGGATTCAAACTCCGGTCGCCAGGTTTGCAGCGTAGCGTGCTAACCGCTGCGCCACCGCTCCCCGTGTTATGCACAGAGCACACGCGACACTGTAGGACACTTTGTCAATCCCCTGATGGATGAACGCCTCCTCACACCGTGTCGAGAGGTTGTTTGATCACACTTTACCGTGCTCCTCATTGCAGGCGTGGGTCGGAGCGCGGAGTGCATTATAACTACGGCACAACAATGGCCACTGCTGCCCACCACGTGACCCCACAGCCTATAACACCTATCAAGTCTCAACCCTGCGCAGCTAGCTTTAGAGATCCGGCGAGATCGGGATCATTCCTCGTGATGTGGTATAACGATGACACAAATAAACATCTTTTAAGAAATCAATGGTAGTTGGTGATGCTCAGATAGATGTTGTGATTCAGCCATTCGTCAGTATATGATGAGCTCGCGGTCCCAACTAACCAATTGACCGGCTTTATCTGTTGTCCAAGTAAGGCCATTTCATGTGATAAAAAACCCTGCATCTTGGAAAGTATATAATAATAATAAATATATATGTTTTGGTGTGTTGGCGATCCTTCAATTACAGTTGGTTCTCGAGTTATGATGGATAAACATATTTCAAGATATGGATTGAAATAGTATGGCAATTCGATTCACAGAATTCTGCTATCATATTGTTCCATCACAAAGTGATTGCCTCATATAATACAATACAGCATATAATATACTCCAATGTCTATTTTAACAGCGAGAACCACAATGCTGGTCAGTGTAGAATCTGCAAAATGGTCAATACCCTATAACACTATGCCATATATCTTACATGAACACATGTCAGAGCCTCAAGATTCGCGTTTATATTTCCTTAAAATAGATTCTCGTACCCACTTACTGATGGGACCCACTCACACATGGGATCCTCACTTAGAGATGAGCCCCACTGAAAACTTGGGAACCACTTACGCGTGGAACACGGGAGACGTACACATGGGACCTACTCACACATGGGACTCACACATGGGACTCACTTAGATTTGAGCCCCACTGAAAACGTGGCAACTACTCACACACGGGACCCACTTAAGCCAGTCCCACCCCCTCTTCCCTGGCCCACCTGTCCCCAGACCCTACAGGGCTGGCTGTGGATGTGGTCAGTGGGCAGGGAGGGCGATCGAGAGGGAACGCGCTTGTGTGGGTGAAGGGAGCGGTGGTACGGCGGTTAACGCACTGCGCTACAAACCCGACGTCCCGAGTTCGATTCCCACTCACGGCCAACATCAGTGACGAATATCTGAGCCAGGTTCTGGGCCTCCCCTAGGCCGACTCAGCCTGAAATGAGTACCTGGTGTGGTGTGAACATCGCCACTGGAGAGACAAAGGCGGTCGGGCGTGGTGCTGGCCACCAACCCCCTCGTGTGACGTTACGGCCTTCATAGGTGCTCGCTAACAGCACTTGCCCCTACAGGCTATACGGGGTGGGGGGGGATCTTTGTCTTTGTGAAGGGAGCGAGAGAGGGGGAGCCCGGGGAGGTTGTAGAGATGCGGCGGCTCCTCCTCATGTTTAGTTTGTGTTGTCCCCCCCCGCCCCCCGCACCTCCGAGGAGCACGGTTGGCTACGTACGGTGCGAAAGAAGTTCAACATACATACACACGCACGTACGTGTTCGGCTGCGCACCTGTAGGCGCGCTATCGTCGCGTGGGATCTGCAGGCTCCCAGGCGGCGAGAACCCCTTTCTCGGGTGTCCCTCCTTGCACGTGTCCCCTTTGTTCGGGGGCATTCCTGGCGACGCCTTCCACCCGAAAACACCACCTGCAGAGTGGTCGCTAACAAAGAGGAACAAAACAATAATAATGAGAACGACGACGATAGCGCGGAGAAAGAAACCGGCACGCGCGCTCATCAGAAGGTCCGAAACTCATTGCAGGAAAAACAATATTTGGGATTTTGAAAATATATATTAAAAGAGGAAGAAAACTACATTTTTTTTATTTTAATTTCATTCTGAACTTGTATTAATACTTTGAATAAATTAGTATTTTCCCCCCACCCAACCACAGTAGTAGGGCAGTCTGAAACTAGAACCTCAGTCACCACTCACAAGTCTGATTTCATCATCCGCGATGACAGCAAGGGCGGCGTAGATCTTCTTGGTTCTTTTGGTAAAGTCACGTAGAAGGGAAGTAATAAAATAATAAAGATAAAACATAATAAAATAAAATTATATTATATTATTTATTATTTATATTATATTATTTTATTTTACTATTTTATTTTATTATATTATTTTATTTTATTATGTTTTATCTTTATTATTTTATTACTTCCCTTCTACGTGACTTTACCGAAAGAACCAAGAAGATGAATCCCTGCAGTCACGAAAGCTTTAAATCGGCGGCGTAGATGTTACCCGAGTGAGGAATCAACCGGGTAAGGGCAGGGTGCCTTGTTCATTTCACCAGATTTTACGTTCTGTGATTAACAAAAAAACAATCCTCGTTGTATGGAAGACAACATTACAAGAAAGGCATTGGGACAGTTGGTGTTTTTAAGAAGGCAATTTATGATACGTGGACTGGTGGCACACCGGTTGTGGCTCTACGCTACGATCTCTGCCAGCTGAGTGAGATTCTCAGCCAAGGCTGACATGAGCGGCACCTGATATCCGAAGCGGTCCCGAGTGTGCCCCGTTCACCCACCCGCACTGACCAGCGTGGTGAAGTATGGTCAAATTACCCCCACGTCCCCACGTAGCATGGGCAAGCCCTTCATCCGGCAGTGGATTGATAACAGGGCTGTAGTACATGCATAAGTAGTGTACAAGTTCTCATACCTAGCTGCTCAAACGCTCACAGGCCATGCAAACTATACCAAAAAATAAATTGCCACTGCGTTGGCCGTTGTGCACAAGTACGAATAACAACAACAACTCAACGCATTGGTCAGTAAATCACTGCCCCGAATGTGGAACGAATATAAAACAGCTGACGTTTCAGGCAATAGCCCTTCCGCAGAGTGATTGCGGCGCGGCGCTGAGAATTAAAAAATAAATGGAACGTTTCGCGGACAGGCTCTGGGTGGGTGGGTGTGGAGCGTGTGCGGAGATTGTTTATGCAAAGAAATCGCCGGAGCGGGGAGCGGGTTAAAAAATTAACCCGTAAAAACAAAGTTTTTCACTATAAATCCTTTATATGCGTGGCATCGGTTTTATTTTATTATTCATTTCTGTTTTACTTGAGTAAGAGTTTCATTTTTATCACATTGGTATTTTAAATTAAATATGAAATTTCTTTTTTTCCTAAAAAGTGGAAAATTTTGGAATTTTTTTCACGAAAATAAATTGTCACGCACAACGAGTCTGTGTTCAAAATGTCAGCTCGATTGGATCACGGGAAGTGGGTTAAAAACGACCGAAAAATTTGCACGGTCGTAAGCGCGCAAGCAAGCAAGTGAACTTAATATAAAGGATTTAAAAAGCCTCCCGACTCTGTCCGAACGAGCGAACCGAACATCAGCAAAGCTCTGCTGCGTGTGAACCTGCGTCTCTCTGCCGGGGAGGGAGGGGTGGGGTGCCTTTTCATCTCGATTCTGCTTTTCATATTTTGCTGGCCACCGAGCGCGTTTTGTTTGCATAGTTCGCACTTCGCGATGCGAGGACATCCGCAGCTGCGCCCTCCTAGCAGGACCGCGGCGCCACCTGTGCCCTTCTCTGTGGACGTTGAAGCCAGCTCAACATCATCCTCCTCCTCCTCCGGCACCTCCTCCTCCTCCTCCATCGCCGCCAGCCTCGTCGTGTCAACACGCGGCTCTCTCTTCGACATCTAAACATCCTCGACAAAAGTGCATTCCGAATAGCGATAAATTAAAGACGGCGAGGAGGGTCGCTGACACGTGCTTCCCGGGCAGCGTAGGCAAGAAGAGCAGTGGCAGCAGGAGCAGCATAAGCAGCAGCATCAGCAACATCGCTCTGTAAATTGCGTACAACGTTATGGGTCTACGTGCGTATATGTGGGGAGTGGTGGCGCATTGGTTAGCGCGCTGCGCTACGAACCCGGCGAACCGTGTTCGATTCCCTTTCACGGCCAACATCGGGGACGAGTGTCTGAACCGGTTCTGGGCCTCACCTAGGTTGACTCAGCCTTCATTCAAATGTTGCGAGGCAAAGGTGGCCAGGTGCGGTGCTGGCCACCCACCCACTTGATGGGTTGCACTTGCCCCAACAGTCTATTAAAGGCTATGCGGGGAATCTTTGTTTTTGTTATATATACGTGGGAGAGAGAAGCCCTTCAGGTGGGACAAGCCTTCTTCATCACAGTACTTTCTGTCAGTGTTAACCATGGTGAGACCAGGGTCGGATTACGTTTGGTGGCGTGTCCACGGCTGTTCGAGATATGAGAAGCCCTCCCTCGATTCAGCTCCTTCCTTCGGCCCATGCCCTAAGAGCCAACAACTGCATCGGCTATTTCAGTCGTGGCTTTTAAATGCGACATACGAATTGTAAAGCTGAATCGACGGTCAAGATGAACAAAACTCTGAGAATGTCGCCACGTAACTGGTGGTAATACACAGAGAGTGATGTCATAGGCTTTCATCACCCAATTATCAACAGATGATCTGTCGGATTAATCAGTGTTGCAGGCACATCCTTGCAACTCCCTAGGAACCAGATGGCTGTCACCAGGAGCCCTTTTCGAACTCATTCAAGGCGGCGGGGGGTGGATTGTTACATCGCAGGAGCGTGAGAGATGGTGGCTGCAGGGGGAGGTCTTCCTCCTGCAGTGGATAGACAAAGGGTTGCAGATAAACAACAATTACAAATCACACGCATTGATCAGTCATGAATAATGCCTGCAGACATGCTCCTCTACGCTGTGGGAGGCGATTAGATAGGTCATTGACGTCCCTTTAAATAGTCCACAATGACCTGTCCCCGAAGCACAATTATATTGTCTATAGAGACTGCTGTGAACAGACGAGGAATAAACGGAATGTGTGAAACTCCCAGAGCCGCTGTGCTGCTAGGTGACCAGCAGATGGCGGTAGAACAAGCGGGATCTTGAACCTGTCTGTACGGACCTACGAGTGTGATGATCGAGTTTTCTTCGGATATTCGGCAATTCCTCCGAAAACAATGAATTACTAAATGTGAGATTGGCCAAACATCCCATTGCGGGACCCTCCGGATTTTTATTATTTTATTATCAAACCCCGATGAAGCTTTCATGATAAATAACGCAGTCGAATACGACGTCGTACATAATGTATATTAAATGCACCACGATGTAATATTTAGCATACAATGTATATTACATGCATTCGAATCCGTTACGTAGCATACAAAGTGCAGGCTATTTTAAACGTGACGGTGTTGAGCAGCGCGCACATCTTTCTGAGCGTGCAACCCCCCCCGCTCCTGAATCCGCTTCAAACAAACACCGCTCGCAGATGTCACCGCCGAGCTGACGGCAGAAACAACTGTCGTGTTTACATGTCAACTCCTCCGCCGTGATCCCACCGGACACCAAGCCAGGCACCGGGGGGGGGGGGGGGTCCCTGGATGAAGTGGAAAGGCACCGGACCTCAACCCCTATCGCCACACCCCCCCCACCTCCTGAAAGGTGACCACGGGACAGGAAACAGCAGGTGGCCACTGGGATGCGGTCCCAGCGTGTGAGGTGACACGCTGCCTTACTCTCACAACTTTTTGACCGTCTCTTCAATTAAACGAAACTCTGTGTTACGTTTGCTGAACTTCTTTCGCACCGCACGTAGCCGACGGCGGTATACATCATACATGTATACATCATACATACATCATACATGTATACATCATACATACATACATCATGCATACATACATTATACATACATCATACATACATACATCATACAAACATCATTCATGCATCATACATCACACATACATCATACATACATCATACATGTATACATCATACATCACACATACATCATACATAAATCAATCATACATACATCATACATATATACATACATCATACATACATCATACATACATACATCATACATCACACATACATCATACATAAATACATCATACATACATCATACATGCATACATCATACATACATCATACATACATCATACATACATCATACATGCAGGATGCTGCTGTGGTGTAATGGTCAGCAGACTGGATTCGCAATCCGCGGGTCACTGGTTCTCTTCCGATCTCCTGGCGCGGCAGTTGTGTCTGCTGCTTCTTCTTCTTCCCACTTCATCTTTCGCCTGTGAACTCGCCAGTATAAACGGGAATACCAGTTGGGCGATCGGAAGACCCTGTGGTGGGGGCAAAGTGTGGGTAGTCCCATCTCTGCAAACGGATATCGTCAAAGAGTGCAGTCTGATGAAGTATGGACACATAACCTCCACGCCCCGCAGAACGTGAAGAGGGCCTCATCCAGCAGTAGATTGACAAAAAAACACTCTGTATAGTACTGTACATGTGTAAGACAAGTTTTTTTTTGTATTTCCATGTCTAGCTGTCCGCCTGATCATGCTAGTTGTAATTACTGGCGAAACATCGTACTCAGATTGTAAATGTTGTGGATTTGCTCTCCAATACACCGGTTTGCTGTACTAGTGAAGTGACGCATATTGAGTCACACCGGCGTTAAGCGCCAGCTACTGTAAGAATAGTGCAACTGTGCGTCTTAGAGCCTATCTCTGGCACCAGAGTGTGTATGGCACGGAAGGGGGCCCTAGAGGGCATGCTTCTGGTGAATGTCAGAGAGAGGGCA